GTTGTTGCTAATTTCAGCATTTTTCAGATAATTTCCACTTTTTTGTGCTTCTGCTTCTTTCAGCCAAACATGTTCTTTCTGCTTTCTTCTGCTAATTTAAGCTTGTTCTAACTGTTCAGCTAGTTGTTTTAGCATTATTTTAGCTAATTTCAGCCATCTTCAAATAAATTCAAGTTTTTCATGTTAATTTCTGCTACTTTCAGTCTAATTAACTTCTTTATGCTAATTTCAGCTTGTTATGCTCCTTTCAGGTTTTTTCTGAGTGTCATATTTTTCAGCTACTATTTAACTCCTTTTCAGTTAATTTTAGCTTCTTCAGCTAATTCCATGTTTTTTTCTGCTCATTTCAGTTATTTCTGCTTTCTGCTGGTAGTTTAAGCTTCTTATTGCCTTTTCAACTTTTTTTTTTTTTGGCTAATTTCCTAATTTTTGCATTCGTTTTTTATTTAAACCTAATATGTGTTCTTTCTGCTTTTTTTCTAATTTAGGCTTGTTCTTCCATTTCAGCTACATTTCAAAATGTTTTTAGCTAATTTTACCTGTTTTTCAGCAGGTTCTTCTGCAATAAGCATTCACACTGCATTTTTGTAGGAAATGCTAAATCTCAAAGTCCAAAGCATGTCCACCTTCATCTATTCCTTTTAGCAGATGTTTTCTGCTGTGTCTATTAAAAGGGATTAAAAGCCATTCAGGTTTTATTTGAAACAAACTAGTTTTATTTTAATACAAGCTCCGAGTGTAATAAAACTATTGATGCTTTTACATCAGTTTGTTCGCTTTAGAGACAGTCTAATAATAGTTCAAGGAACTTACTGTTTGGGTTTTAAGACTGAACTTTTAGAAACAAATCAAAAATATATTTGTTGATCATAGCTGCTGTTTCTCGCCTCTTGCCCTTTAGGTAACGGAGGAAACGTCTGCAGTGCTGAACAGGCTGGGTTACTCCTGTGAGTGTCGAGGACTCATCAACGTCAAGGGGAAAGGCGAGCTAAAGACCTTCTTTGTGTGCACTGACACGAGCAAGCAGCAAGCCATGAGCCTGAGCTGAGGCCTGGACAGAACTGAAGTCAAGAGTTTACAGACTCCTGCACATCACAGGCCTGACGCGGACTCTTAACTGTGGTGTTGCTGAGGGGGGGGGGGGGGGGGGTGTCGAACTGCTTTTTTGACGTGTGCTGGATATTGATTTGAATGAGACCAGAAGAAAACTGTTTGTACAATCATTGTTTTTTATTTTTTAATTTACGAACACGTTGTCTTGGTATTTGTTACTTTTGTACTTTTTGTCTCTAACTTAATGTGATAGAAAAAATAATGTATTGTAATAATGCCATGTTATATTCATGAACTCTGCACTTGATTTTTGATCATTAGTAACCTAAAATGATCCTAAACTTGATTGAACTGAATTTGGTTTAATTGGACTGTATTCAATTGGACTCGTCTCCTGAGAGGACTTTTGTTGTGAATTTGCACTCTGAAGAAATACAGGTTTCGTTCTGGAAGCCTCTCTAAAACCTTTTTTTTCCCTCGTGACAACAGGATGTATTCCTGCAACAAATACTTTCTGGTAAAATTAAAATCCCTAAAACTTTACAACTGTACGTTCAGGTGTAAAGACTTTCCATGGTCACATTATTTTGGCTCCAGCTGTGCATTTTTGCCTTGATAACCATTTAAATATGAAATATGACAAAACAGTTTCATTTAGAGATTAATAAATTTAAAGCTTTTTTTTTTTTCCCTGGTGTTTTTTTGCTACTCGTTTCCATCCACGCTGCGGTGGTGGAAGGCGTTCGCATGTCCTCAGTGTGTGATCTAACAACCTGCCTGCTGTGAATGTCTTTTTCCGACCTGAGCTCAGATTGTCACCTGAACGCTCTGTGCCTCATGTGGCCTTACCCGTCTGACACCGTCTTGTCTGTAATTACGGTTGCATAATATTATACTGTCATTTCTGTGAACAAATGTGACATTGACTTTTTGTACAGATACGGAGTGTAATAAATGTTTTCCTAAGTCTGCAGTTTGTCATCCACAGTCACGCAAGAACCAAGGTTTATCTAAAAAAAAGTTTTATTGATTGAAATGTACTGCAGTGTAACACAAAAGCACTTTTTACACAAAACTTAAGTTATTACGTTGAATGTGGGCGGTTGGAAGTTCATTTCACGATGACGTACGGAACAACGTCCGGGCCGCTTGGTAAAATCTCCATTGGTTCACTCGTCTCCACTGAAAGAAAAATGCAGGGTTTTGTCTGACGTGCTGATTTTCAGGTAAGATTTGAGGTTTTCCGCCATGAAGCGTCACTGCAGTTTATGTGGTACCTGTAGTGAAGTCTACGAGGGACTCGGGTGACTCCTCTGGAGGGACGGCGACACCCATGGCCTTCCTGATGCTGTGGACGCTGCTGACGTCACACGGGGCCACTTGACCAGTCAGCTCAGTCAGGTTTCCTGTCACCTTCTCAGCTGTACAAAACAAGCAACAGCAGGAGATCAAGACAAAGTTTCTTACATTAAAAAAGAGCAGGTGATATTAGAGGGAACTAAAGAAATTGCATTTCCTGCAAAAATGCAGTGTGAATGCTTACTGCAAAACAACTTGCTGAAAAACAGCTGAAATTAGCTAAAAACACGCTGACATGCAGCTGAAATGGAACACGCCTAAGTCAGCAGAAGAAGGCAAAAAGCACATATTTGCTGAATGTGGTTTAAAAATGCAGAAATTAGCACAAAATTTAGGAAATTTGCTAAAAAAAAAAAAAACAACAGGTAAAAAGTAGCTGAAAAGGCAGAAAGAAGCTGAAACTACCAGAAGGAGGTGAAATGAGCTAAAAAATGTGGAATTAGCTGGGAAAACTAAATTTAGCATAAAATGGCTAAACAGTAGCTGACAGCAGAAAAAGCTGAAAGGAGCAGAAAGAAGTTAATTAGGCTGAAAGTAGTAAAAATTACCCTAAAAAAAATTGAATTAATCTGAAAACAGCTAAAATTAGCTAAAAATGCTAAAAATAAGTAGCTAAAAAGGTCAACAAGCTTAAATTAGCAGGAGAGCAGAATGAACATGTTTGCTGAAAGAAGCAAAAATGAGTACCAAAAAATGAAAATAGTCTGAAAAAAAAAAGCTGAAATTTGCAACAACAACAAAAAAAGAAAGCTTAAATTACAAGAAGGTAGTGGAGAGAGCTCATTTTTGCTGAATTGGGCTGAAAAAATTGAAATACTGCAAAAAAAATTGGAATTGGCTGAAAAATCTCCCATTAGCATAAAAACAGCAAAATTGTAGCTGAAATAGCAGTAAAAGCTGAAACTTGCAGAAATAAGCTGAAAGGAGCATAAAAAGCTGAAACTAACAGAAAGAAGTTGGAAGAAGCATAAAAATGTGGTTAGAAATAATCGGAAAGGAGCACAAAACAGCTGAACGTAGCTGAAAAAAAGTTTAAATTTACACAAAGAAGCTGAAGCAGAACAAAATGTGAAAGGAGCAGTGAAAGGTTGTAAACAGATCTAAAGATTTGAAGGATGGAAAATGAGCTCAATTAATTTTCTGAGAGAAAAAAAATGGCAGAAAAGGCTAAACATTTCAAAAAGCTAAAGTTGCACCAATACTAAAAGTCTGATTGTCCTGAAAGAGCTGAACGTTTTGATTTATGAGTCGTTGAAACAACACAAAAATTGTGGAACAAGAAAAATGCTGAAAAACATATGGCAGAAAAATGGATGACAAGAGTGTGAAAGTTTATGAAGCAGTCACTACTAGGCATGAGTTAAAGTCCCTTTTACTTATTTTCACAAGTAATTAAATAAACCGTAGCTAAGGGAGTTTTTCCTTTCCACTGTTGCCTTTGTGCTCGCTCAGGACGGGAGACTGGGACAAAGTGAAGACTCAATGCAATCTGCTGGCTTCCTTTGATTAATAACTTTTACTAATTGTCTTTTATAATGTATGAATGTTTCTGTTCGGTGCCCTGAGGTGACTTCTGTTGGGACTTGGTGCTACATAAATGAACTGAAGTAACCATTTGTTACAGAAATGGAGACTACACAGACAAGTTTTCTCTCCTTACATTACAAAAACATGTGGTTCTTATTACATAAAATTTATTAAAACCGTCTCGAGTCCGTGGGAAAAGGAGATTCGAATGTGATCCTCGTCTAACTGCAGATTCCTGTCTAAAGCCGGATGACAAACCACACCTGTGTGAGATGAATACTTCAGAGGTCTACAGCTGGTGGCAAGGTCTGAGTGGAGGAACAAAGGGGGTCCTTGCGCTGAGAGGCTCTTACCCAGCTCGAGCTCCTTGGCAGTCGGAGCCAGCAGGCAGATCATGTTAGGAGGCTGCTTTGCACTCAGACGCTCCCTCTGAGCTTCCTGCAAGTCGCGCAGGAGCTTTGTAGTCTCGTCCAATTTCTGCTGGAAGTGTAGAACCTCTGAAACGGATCAGGGTGAGAGGACACACACACACAGTTATCGCTTCCTCCGAGCTGCTCCTGTTGCATTAGAGTAACCCCCTCTGACACAATGCTTCCATTCTTTGTGAACCTGGACACAACCATCAGAGAGTCACTAATAACAGAGAGGTGATGGGCTGAGAGCTAAGTCATCAAATGACATGAAGAGAAATAATATAACGGCTTGTTAATTATACATTTAAAACATTAAAAAGATGAATTTTTATGTCAAAATCTGAAAAGCAAACGCTACACGCCCTGCAGTTAAAGCTCAGTTACTGGGAAAATATTTAATTGTATTCAAAACTGGATGCAGAGTTAGCAAAATGAACATTTGAACTTTTTTAAAAAATAAATACATTTTTAGTCTGTTATGCATGAATGCTTTGTTTCAGATTCAAAATGATCTTCGAACACTTCAGAACTGGACTAAAATCACAGCTTTGGATGTAAAACAAAGGTCAGTACCCTCAGAGAGCTCCTCCTCCGTGTCCAGGCCTGCAGCAGAGCGCAGGAAGTCCAGCTTGCTGGAAGAGTCGGGCTGCGCTCCCTACGAGAGGCGGAGGGGAAAGAAGATGCTTGATCAGATTAAAAAAAAAAAAAAAAACACATTCCAGCCTGGACAGCTGATGTGCCAAGGGAACATCAAGGCCTGCCGAAGCCCCTGTTTGTCATGCTGCCTCTCTGCTCCAGTAAAAACCTAAACCTAATCAAAAGCTGCATCAGCTGAGCAGACGAGCGTCAACTGGAGCGCGGCCAAGACCAGCAAACAGCCAGCACAGAGGGTCGCTGTGTGTTCGGCTCAGGCCGGTTCTTTGGTTTCCTCCGCTGCTGTTAGCAGCGATTCAGCTCTGCAGCCAGCGAGCGATGAAGGGAAACACGGTTCCCTCCAAACCCTCCGACTGCGGACCACGAGAGAGAGCAGCTTTTATGTCTCTTGAAAGGAAATGTTCTTTCCGTGTGAGGTTGGAGCACAGCTAACGGCAGGCCCCTGCTATGTTGACACAGCTGCTTGATGCAGAAACCATCAGCAGAGGCCATCTAGAACACAAATTAAATGAAGAATTCTCCCGTGGGGGGTGTACAGCAAGTACACGTGACGGGGTTTCCACCAAGCAGCAGCACAGGACAGATCAGGATGAGTGGCTCCAGTTTAGGGTTACACAGCACATGCTGATTCTTAGGGATGCACGATATTATCAGCACGGTATCTGTATCAGCTGATATTAGCAATAAAGTTAAATATCGGCCATTCCATCAAAATAACTCAATGACATAAAAAAGCACTGTTTATATGTATTGTATTGTCCAGCGTTTAAGTCACGCATCAGTCAAAAAAAACATCATTAAGAGGAAAAAAAAACGTATAAGTCGCATTTATTATGTGTCACCGCTGATGCGTGGCGTTTATTTAATGGTCAAAACAGGTTAGTTTCACCTGGGTGGCACGGTGCCATCTATCCATCCATCGCAGCTGGAGCTCGCCAGCATTCCTCCATCTGCACCAGCTGAGTGAAGCGAGCGCGCATGAGAGGACTCGCTGTTGCAGTTCTTCAAAATTTAAAGCGTCACTCAAAAATTGCATTATGAATATGGAAAAAAAAAAAAAAAACATATATAAGTCGCTTCGGTGTACAAGTTGCAGGACTGACAAATCTATGCAAACAACTACGACTTATACGCCGGAAAATACAGTATGTATATGTATACATATATATGTGTGTATATATATAAATATATATATATATATATATATATATATACACAAGGCACTGCTTTTGTATGACAGCCCAGTGACGAGGACGCCTGCAGTGCCAGCACAACGTTATGACATCATGTGCGCCATTGAGTTTAAATTTGTGAAAATTTACAAATTTGCACTGTTCGAGTGTCGTCACTGTGTTAGAGAGTAAATGTCATGAATAAACACTAAACATAATCCAAGTTGAAGTGTTGCATCATTTTCAGTCCCCTTTTGGACATCTGCATTTGGTAGCAGGTCAAACTGACAAAGACCGTGCAGAATAATGTAGTATTTTAACTCCACAGCAGAGAAAGCTATGGAGGCTCTGTAAGTAGGTCTAGAGGGGAAAATATCGGTATCGGTTATCGACCAAATAAGCTTTAACATATCGGCGAAAAATTCAACATCGTTAATCCCTCCTGATTCTGGTCGTTGTCACTCGTTTTACAGCAGTGTTTGAAACTCAGTACAGTTTACTGCAGAGGACGGAGGAGGACGTCATCTGGAATTCAGCTCCAGACGAACAAACGCTCACCTCTGTGTCACCTTTGTCCTCCTGTGTATTTGTGGTCTGTGGCTGCTGCACAGATAACAACAAGAAAAGAAAAGAACCTCGTCAGTCAGTGAGTTAACCTTTTAACGCTGCACCGTCAGAATCAGAAGGATCATTACCTCCTCGGTCTCCTTCAGGGCTTTAGAATGCTCTCCGTTGGTCAAGGCGTCCAGAAGGTTGTCTGCCAGTTTGTACATATACTCGTCTGGTTTGGCCAAGAATTCAGACAAGCTGCCACACACACACACAAACACACACACACACAGTCACTGCACAGTGTTGTTGTTTTGTTAACACTCGAGAATCGTTAAATAAAGTGTTGGAATCACTTCGGGGACTAAAACGAATTAGAAGTTGTTGATTTCAACAGTAGTTACAACACTCTTGATGCATTAAATATCTACACAGAACATAAATCCTGCTGCTGTCTCATTGTACAGTGTTTCCTAACAGCTGCTCCAACATTTAGCCAGTTTGTTGCCGTTGGTCCAAACACAAGTTATTATCCAACACGGCGTACAGACACTCTAGGTTTCAGATCACGCCGCCTTACCCAGATTCAGGAAGATTCAAATCACCAATTCTTATGATGAGGATATACTTTAAAGCAAGATTTAATTAATGTAGCATTTCAACACCAACTATGTGAGACACTAAACCATATTTTGCTCTAATACATAATTATTATTTTAGTCTACAGCAGTCCCTCGTTACTTGGCGGTTAGACTTTCATGCACTCGCTCTTTCACTGTTTTTTAAAGAGCCGGTAAGAGTGGACATGACACACAAGTGGCTGACAGATGGACGAGCCACACGAGCAGCATGGATTGTTTATTTCAAATAAATTGTTTTAAATAATTTAGCACCTGTGTGCAGTCCACAGGTGCAGGGACAAGCTCCCTCTGCAGCCTGTCATGATCTCCTCTCGGCCACGCCCACATTTCTCCTCTGTGCTGCAGAGGCTTCATGAAGTTAACCCTTTGCTGTCCAGATGCACCGATCCACTTTTGTCTTTCAACTTAAAATTCAAAGTATATCACATCGTAAAAATCACAAAATATGAAAGTGTTAAAGGTTATTTTTAATAATTTTAAAACGTCAGTGTTCAGTTGTTACAGTGTAACTGCTCCAGGCTTCATCTGCTGCGTGAAGTTAACCCTTTGCTGTCGGCTGCATTTCTCTTCTCTACAATTTAAATTTAAAATCTTACAAAATTTAAATAGTTTATTTACACAGAAAGAGGGAGATTAGGAAGTGATGAGCACGAGTGTGATTGCAGCAGAGAAGTGGGCTGGCAGAGAGTGGAGATCATGACAGTCTGTGCTCTTTCAGAGTTTTTAGAGTTTAGAAACATTGTTTAGAATATTGAAAGAGTGTGGGCAGAGTTTATAAAGCCTTTACACACACACACACACATACATATATATATATATATATATATATATATATATATATATATA